AGAATAGTGATTGATGGAAGAATGTGTGGTTAAAAAGTAAGGAGAATTTTTGGGTTTATGTGTAATATTATTTTATTGATAGAATGCGTGGTTGAAATGAAGAAAGAGAAAAAAATGAGAAAGAGAATGAGAAAAGAAATGGATGTCAAACAAGGGCTTAATATTAGGCTGTTTACACCATACCTCTAATAATGTTAATTATGCAATTCTCATTGCAGTTAATGGAATATTCTCACCTTTTAGATCAAGCAGATGACTGCGAGGACCCATATGCATGTAAGTATTTCTTGAATTACTATACACAAGATCTTTTTGATTATATAAAATTTTGAGGGAAGTAATAAGATGCACTAAGGGAGTTCTTTTATTTTTTGATATAGCATCATGGGCAATATCTGTTTACTATGCATACCAACGTACCTGGAAGCCTTTCAATCCAATTCTTGGAGAGACTTATGAAATGTTTTAACCACGGTGGGATTACATTAGTTGTGGAACAGGTGAATTAATTGCGTATTGGAATTTTGTTTTCTGATCTGCTTTACCCTACTAATTTGATCCCTTGTCCAGAATCCTGATACATATCAAGAATTCTTTTACCTGAACTAAAATATCAAGTAATATGGGAGCAGAAGATTGAACTTCTCTTGAGGACTCACAGAAAATTGTATCTATAAAGACTGCACTTCCAAAGATTTTTTAGGGTTTGTTGCATTTTGCAGGTGAGCCATCATCCTCCTATGAGTGCTGGACATGCTGAAAATGAGCATTTCACTTATGACATGACTTCTAAGTTAAAAACTAAATTCTTAGGGAACTTGCTTGACATCTATCCCATTGGAAGGTATAGTTTTTATGAAAGTTTTGTGGTTGATCTTGACTATAACTTTTCTCATGCCATGTTTTCTAAGCTGAGTAGTTGCTTTAAGCCATTTCAATGCAAATGTGCAGTATTAATTGATTCAACTTTTGTCAATATTGTGATCTTGCTTATTTGTCTCTTAAAATAAATAGAATTACAGTCTAGTTGTGTATTCTTGACACAGGACACGTGTGACTCTTAAAAGAGATGGTGTTGTCCTGGATTTGGTTCCACCTCCTACTAAGGTTAACAATTTAATTTTTGGACGAACTTGGGTGGATTCACCAGGAGAAATGGTCATGACAAATTTAACTACTGGAGATAAAGTTGTTCTCTATTTTCAACCTTGCGGTTGGTTTGGGTATGTTGGTTGTCATTTCATCTTTCATTTTCTCAACCTTAGCTGCACTTTTATTTATTGAAATCTCTATGATTGTAGTCACCACTTGCTTTTCATGTTGAGCATGGTTGGTTAAAAAGTCCTTAATCGATCTTTCTCTGCTCTCTTTTGTACTGATTTTGAAATGGTATTTGCAGAACTTAGCATTAGAGATACTGGGGGGTAGTTTCTTCTATCAGAGTACTAAGAGAATAAACAGTTTCAATTTAGCTGTTGCTTTTGGTTCCTGCCACTTATTTTTAACCTCTAATTTTGCAAATTGCAATACTGAGGTCTTTATT